CGCTGCCGTCGCCGAGCCTGGCAAAGGGGGGGGGGGAGGACCGGCCTCTCCGTCGCCGCCACCGCCTTGGAGCCGGGGGGGGAGGACCGGCCTCGCCGCCGCCTCCTCGGGGAGATCGAGCGGGGGGGATGGAGGAGACGGAGCTCTTCTCCCCCCGCAAGTATCGCGGGTCCCCGTCTTGTGCTTATCTAATTCCCTTTTGAAGCCGTCCATGCTTGTAGCCGCCACCACTTCCTGTGGCAGTGAATTCCATGTGTTAATCACTCTTTGGGTGAAGAAGTACTTCCTCTTATCCGTTCTAACCCAACCGCTCAGCAATTTCATGGATATGGGGAAAAGACAAGTCCCAAATCAACAATCTCCACTGCTTAAAGGTGAAGAAAAGAGACCTATTGATCAATGCTGTTTTTTGATCAGGGACAGGGAAATGCCACATGAGGGAAGCCTCCAATCCCTGTTCCCGGTGCTGCAGATCCAAACCAGATCAAGGATTCCTGTGGCTGCTTTGGAGGACCAAACTTCATGTCGGAGGCCCTTCTCCAGCTTCATGTGACCCTCAGGTTGCTTTGGCAAATCCCCCTTTTGCATTCCCTGCAAAGAATGTTGTTTCAGAAACCTCCAATGTGAAGATGAAATTTCCCCAGGACAACCACAGAGTCGGCCTCTGATTGTCCCCGTCCAATTCAGCGGCATCCACCCTAATTCAAGGGGGAGGGGTGAACGAAGACTGAGGACACAGGGTGGGGAAGAGGAAAGGTTTATAGTAGTGAAGAGCGCCTGCATAGATCCGTTGGAAAAACCCAATAATTCCTACAACTGAACACTGGTACAATAAAGTATGGGCAGGGCTATTTTGGGGCAGGAACGCACAGGAACGGAGTTCCGGCTGGCTCCCAAGTTGGCCACGCCCAGCAGTAACTCATTAGCATAATAGGCCACACCCAATAGCAGAAACTCATTAGGACTGGCTACATTAGGGGTGTGTGGCCTAACATGCAAAGGAGTTCCTGCTACAAAAAAAGCCCAGGGTTTTGACCACAAACAAGATCAACAGAATAAGAAGCAAATGGTGGGCGTGGCTGGATTACCACACTTCTGGTAACATGGGTGTGTGGCCTAATATGCTAATGAGCTGTGCTGTCAGGGGTGTGGCCCAATAGGCTAATGAGTTTCTGCTGTTGGGTGTGGCCTATTATGCTAATGAGTTCCTGCTGGGCTTTTTCTACAAAAAAAGCCCTGAGTATGGGAATATTTTATCTCAGACAAGATATCTGAATGGGTAACCCAACACCAAAATGAGTCAGAACACAGACGGTCTATGGCAAAATGGTACCTATTTCTATCAGCATCGGAAAATTCCCTACTCAAAACTCTAGGAGCCTCAAGAGTAGACGCCCGCTCTGTCTACCTATTCTTTTAGGGCCGACACAAAAAGAGATATTCGAACTCTTATATACACTTCACGATACAGCTCACAATCTAGAATGTCAAATTATCAAAGCTCTTCTAAGGCCCCGGTCACACGGAGCATATGCCGCACTAAAGCCACGAATGTCAGGCGGATTTTCGGTGCGCAATCACACCGCAATATCTGGGAAGCGTAGCGCACCCATGGCCAACCCGTGGCATCCTGCCAAAGATGCGCAGTAAAAAAACTACCTCGGAAAGTGCACTGGTATCCAGAAAACGCGGGGTAGGGGCGGGCGTCTGATCGCGGGAGCGCTAGTATCCCGTGGCATCCGGTGCCTGCCCACGTCCCATCGCAAACCGGATGTTTTTCGTAAGCACATGTGCACAAACACGTAACTGAAAGCAGTGCTGCTCTGCAGAACCGTGCATGCTCACAAATGCGAAACGCTTGCCACGCCACTTCTTTGCCACGCTCCAGCATCGCCGTGTGATCGCCAGCCAACAGCCTAAGTGCAGAGACTCGGGGGACCGTGTGATCGGGCTACCGCACTTTATTTTGGTCCGAGGCGAACAGCCATGACCCCCCCCCCCCGACGTTATCTGGCCCGTGTGACCGGAGCCTCTGTTGCCTTTTCTGGTTAATACCCCTTCAAGTTATTAATGTTAGGTTCTAACCCCAAAGTGTTATTTTTATTTTTATTTATTTTTTTCCTTCTTGGTTAGCCTTAGTTATCATAGGCCCCGGTCACACGGAAGGTTTTGGGCCGGGAGAGGGACGGATTGGGGGCGCAGGAAACGGCCGCGATCTCACCGCAACATCTGGGAAGCGGCACGCACCCTTCCCCGATCTGGCCCTTCAGGCTGAATATCCGCTGAAAAAAATCACCACCTCCAAAGCAGGACTTACCGGAGACGCCGCAGCAAGCGCGGCCATCAGATCGCCCGAGCGCCGGTCTTCTGGAGCAATTGGGGCTCCCAGCCGAACTGCGCATGCGCACACATGTGCAGCTGGCGGCCTCGCGCTCCCTTCGGTGGCTTTCTCCCCGGCATCTGATCGTGCCGGGGAGCAACTGCGCGGCGGCTCACGGGATCTGTGTGATCCCGCCGCCGTGTGTCTTTTGGTGCAGTCCCCCCCCCCCGTGTGGCAAACACCATAGGCTATCTATATTGTTGTGCTGTTCTATTGCTGTTCTATTGCAGTCCCAATTGCAACACCCATTTAAAATCTCTCACGTATATTTGATAGTTGCCATTGCTTGAATACTCAACGGTATCTGACTACTTGTTCAAATAAAGTGTGTTTAAAAATAAAAAAAAAAACAACTAGATTCTTTGCAGTGTTCCCTCTAAGCTGAGTTAGTGTGAGCTAGCTCACAGGTTTTTAGCCTCCAGCTCAAAGATTTTTGTCTTCGCTCAGGAAGGATGGCTCCAGAGCAAACTAATTTATGCAGGAGCCCAATGGCTCGCTCACCACTTTAACACCAGTAACTCACGAAGTAGAATTTTTGCTCACAAGACTCCACAGCTTAGAGGGGGGATTTGTTGCTGGCTATGCGACCCCTGGTGAAAAGGGGACACCGGCTTGGTTTTCGGGACTAGCAGAGGAATAAATGGCCAATTCCCTCTCCCATTTTTACTTTACTTCTACCCCGCCTTCTCCCCAGTGGGGGACCCCAAAGCAACTTACATCCTTCTCCTCTCCTCCATTCTATCTGCACAACAACCCTGTGAGGTAGGCTAGGCTGTGAATGTGTGACTGGCTCAAGGTCACCCCCCGTAAACTTCCATGCCAGAGCACGGATTCGGACCTGGAGTCTTTCAGATCCTAGTTCGGTGCTCTAACCACTATTTCATACTGTCTCTGGGCATAACCTGAGGACTTTCATTCTCAGGAAATACTGGAAGGGTGGGACGGGAAGGAACTCTGAAAGGAATACCTGTTCAACTTCCATGGCAACTGCCCCGTCAGAAGACGGGCCCAGGCATTAAGTCCAAAGTTTCCTTCTTTGCATCGTTGCTCTTTACGTATGTCAAATAGAAGAAGAAGAGAGAAGAGATTGGATTTATACCCCGCCCTTCACTACCCAAGGGAGTCTCAGAGTGGGTCACAAACTCCTTTCCCTTCCTCTCCCCACAACAGACAGACACCCTGTGAGGTAGGTGGGGCTGAGAGAGCTCTGAGAGAACTGAGACCGTCCCAAAGTCACCCAGCTGGCTGCGTGTGGAGGAGTGGGGGGATCAAACCCGGTTCTCCCAGATCAGAGTCCGCCGCTCTTAACCACTACACCAAACTGACTCTGTTGTTGTAGACTGTTGTTGTATGGAGGGGAAAAAGCACCCTCCTATTAATAATTGTCAGAATTGTTTTCCAGATTGGTTAGGACTTGCATTGGATTGATTTAAAACACACACACACACACCAAAAAAACCACGTTGCTTCTTAATCAAAAGTTTCTTCTTTCCCCTTCAGAAAAGGAAAGTGGATAAAACAAATGTGTTTTGTTATAAAACGAGAGACTTTACAGGGAATGTTGCCTGAGCTACCAAGTCACACTGTTCTCTCTTCTGGGGCTCCTTGTGGAATTAGCACATGTGGGGCACATGAACATGCACAGAGGAAGGAATAGGTCTGTTACCCTTTGGCAGAATACAAGGAGGCAGAAGCAATCGGTTACAGGAGTCAGAAGCCGGGAAGGGGGTGGGTGGGAGAGGTTGGGATCAGTGTTCCCTCTAAGCTGAGTTAAGTGTGAGCTAGCTCACAGTTTTTCAGCCTCCGGCTCACACATTTTTGTCTTTGCTCAGGAATGATGGGGCTCCAGAGCAGTGTTCCCTGTAAGCTGAGTTAAGTGTGAGCTAGCTTACAGTTTTTCAGCCTCGGGCTCACACATTTTTGTCTTTGCTCAGGAAGGATGGGGCTCCAGAGCAGTGTCCCCTCTAAGCTGAGTCAGTGTGAGCCAGCTCACAGTTTTTTAGCCTCCGGCTCACACATTCTTGCCTTAGCTCAGGAAGGATGCCTCCATGCAGCAGCCAAATTGCTCACTCACAGCTTTCATGCCAGCAGCTCGCAAAGTCGGATTTTTGCTCACAAGATTCCACAGCTTAGAGGGAGCGTTGCTCCAGAGCAAGTTGATTGACGCAGCAGCCTAAACGCTCACTCGTAACATGAATGCCAGGAGCTCACAAAGCGGAAGTTTGGCTCACAAGACCCCACAGCTTAGAGGGAGCATTGGTGGGGGATCCCTGCTGCAGCCTGCTGCCTTTACCTTCAGCCATGCTGTCCCACGCAGGAGTCTTCTGCCTTCTCCGCCCAGGTCTCCTCTCCTGTTGCTGCCAGCACCGCTCTCGCCGGCCCCTGGCTTCCCTTCACTCCAGTCCGCTTATATAGTCCTCTAGAGCAAACACACACCCCCAGCCAGGCCCTCATCTGAGGCAGGCCGGATGAGAAGAGGGGGGAAAGTCAGACAAACCAACCACACGACTTCCAGGGAAAACGAAGTTCACGGGTTCCAGCCTCTCTCTGCACGTCGCAAGGGGATTAGTAATAGGCATCAGTTTTTGTCAAAGGGAAAGCAGACAGTGTGAGTGGCAGACTCGGGGTGGAGCAGCTGGCGAAAGAGCCCCCTCTAGCTGACTACTCCTGGGCTTGGCCGGTTCCTCTCCCAAACAGGACTTTTGTGCCATTTGCTTTCAAAAAACAAAAGCTGGGGACCAGTGCTCCCTCTAAGCTGTGGAGTCTCGTGAGCAAAAATTCTACTTTGTGAGCTGCTACCAGCATTAAAGTGGTGAGCAAGCCATTTGCCTACTGCGTAAATTCGTTTGCTCTGGAGCAATGTTCCCTCTAAGCTGTGGAGTCTTGCGAGCAAAATTTCTACTTTGTGAGCTACTGGCATTAAAGTTGTGAGTGAGTGATTCAGCTACTGCATTAATTAGTTTGCTCTGGAGCCATCCTTCCTGAGCGAAGGCAAAAATGTGTGAGCCAGAGGCTAAAAAAATGTGAGCTAGCTCACACTAATGCAGCTTAGGGGGAACACTGCTCTGGAGCCCTCCTTCCTGAGTGAAGGGAAAAATGTATGAGCTGGAGGCTAAGAAACTGTGAGCTAGCTCATGCTAACTCAGCTTACAAGGAACCCTGGCTGCAATGCTCCCTCTAAGCTGTGTGAGTGGGAGACTCGGGGTGGAGCAGCTGGCGAAAGAGCCCCCTCTAGCTGACTACTCCTGGGCTTGGCCGGTTCCTCTCCCAAACAGGACTTTTGTGCCATTTGCTTTCAAAAAACAAAAGCTGGGGACCAGTGCTCCCTCTAAGCTGTGGAGTCTCGTGAGCAAAAATTCTACTTTGTGAGCTCCTACTGGCATTAAAGTTGTGAGCGAGCGATTTGGCTGCTGCATAAATTAGTTTGCTCTGGAGCCCTCCTTCCTGAGTGAAGGGGGAAATGTGTGAGCCGGAGGCTAAGAAACTGTGAGCTAGCTCACGCAGCTTAGAGGGAACGCTGCTGGGAATTCACACGACCTGACAGGCGTAATAATATAAAGCTATAACAATATTCAAATGGTGATTTAAAAAAACAAGGACAGCCTGTTTGGGGGCGGCGGG